AGGCGGGGCGTTTGTAGCTTAGCGGTTAGAGCATTGGCCTCCGGGAAAGGCCTTCTCTGAAGTGCGGGTTCAAATCTCGCCAAACACATCAAGTTTTTTCACACTTGAGTCAACTCAAATTCTTCGATTAATTTCACTCTGGGTGTGAGCACAGACCACACACAAATTGAGTGTTTGAATGCACCTGCTTGACCCCAAAAATACTGAAGTTTTGAAATTTTCGTATTCGAACTGGAAGAATCTATGGGATGCTCCTCAAACGATGCTTTATTCCGCAAAATCCGCATTGGATAGAGGCAACAACTTCAGCTCGGTAGAGCAGAAGCATTACTTTGTCTACTATAAAATCTTTGCCTTAATCGTTCATGAAATTAACCGAGACGAATTTGCGAAGTCAAGTTGGCAAACATATGTTTTCAGCAGTTTATAATCAGGCCAGAACATTTGCAGGAAAATTAAAAACTGTACAGTTGGACAGGGCTAAATAGTAAAGTCTGATAAAAATTCATCGTTTACGCGTCGCCCGCATGGCAAGGTCGGCTTGTAGAGGTTCTTTCGTTGGGGATTTGTTCAGGAATTTGTTCATGAATTATGTCCACATACAAGCTGTAGAGTTTTTACGAGCCATTTTGAATTTACGTTAAGTATAATTTACGGGGTCGTTTCTTTTCCCCCATAATGCTGCGGGGATTATACAACCGAAGTCTTTTTTACCATTGCCTTGCGAAGCAGCCCTGGTTGGTAAATTTTAGTTCACTTGATACCCAATGCTTTAAATTTTAACATTCGTTCACCGATCGCAAACAGAACTCACTCGTCCCGCTCTGTTTTGACCCCCACCAGCAACCAAACGGTGACTAGTAGTCTAAGGAGATAGCATTTCCGATAAGGACAAGGGAGACCGAAATGGCCCTTTCTGGCGCAGTAGCAGTCATTAGTCACTCATTCCCAACTCCGAGAGGTCAACCACCCAACGCTTGAACTCGCGACCTTTTCGATCAGAGTCTAAACCTCTAACCATTGAGCTCGTTGTCTTGCCGTTTTAGGTCGGGATATATTGACATTCATTGATTAACATTCACCGATCGCCAACGGAACTTACTCGTTGAGCAGCGGGTGGGGTAGCGCTTGGGACCGTATATGACTGGCGGCTAACGGCTATTGAGCCTGAAGTTGTAATTCTAGTCTCCCTTATTTTTGCCGGCAGTGCTCTCTGCTTCAGGTTTTGGTGTAGCTAGTTCTCATACTTGTTTCGACCTTGAATTCCACATTTCGAATGCAAAATGTTAATCAGGGCATTGCATGAAGAACTTCTTGGTTTTCTTCTGTTGTGTGGACCAAAAATTTCTAGCCACAGTTTGATTCTCTTAAGAAGGTCTGCATGCCTCAATTTAAGCGTAGTAACCTTGTGTGCTCTTGCCTTGAGCTTGTTTTCGTGTCTGTAGTTAGGGGCGCGCGCGTTGCGAGAACGAGAACGAGTACAAACAGGTGTGTTAAGTGAAGGTTTTTCTGCCACTGCTTCGAAAGGGAGGGGGGCGTATGATCGCACTTAAAGATAACACGTCTTTACAGTGTTGCCGTGTCACCTGTGGGGGAAAGTAAATTTGATCGCCGAGACAAGAATTTTATTCGCCTGACGTTTAGAAATCAGTCGTGGATCTATCCTCAAAGACACAAGCAGAAATGGGTACTTCATATACAGTAGTCACCAAAGATCACGCAACATGCCGACACATGCGAAAGATTGATACTCTTTGGCTAATCGGCATTGACTAAAGTTGCGATACTGATTATCGTGTAGTCTATTCTGAAGTCATTTCAGCCATGATCGGATGCGGGCTTTTTAACGAGCTTCGTTCTGACCACTAACAAAATCTATCTATTGTGAAAACTGGCTACTTAAGTAGTATGCCTTTTTATCATTTATTTTACTGCCATTATATATTTAAACATATTTTATGGAAAACATGCACGAAAAAAATAGTTTTTATACTTGTCTGATAGAAAATTACACCTTATTAAAATTTTACACTCAAAGAAAAGGAAGCTTTCAGTTTTAAAAAGTTCCTAATTATGAACTTTTTTACAATTTGGGGGTGTTTACTCACAATACATCGTATCCCTAAATTTATTAATGCTGCCTATAGTGCATAAATATGTTCCACATCTACTTCAGTATTTTATGACAACTATGTGACTTCTTCCTCAAACTGTAGGCGAAAACGTACTTTTCCTTTAACAGGATGTACACAGTGCGCAGCTTTTAAACCTTGAATTCGAGTGAAGCAGTCACTATGTTAGAAAATTATTGACAATGGAGCAAATTTTTTAAAACAGAGAGCTACCCTTTCTTTTAATAAAAAATTTAAAGAAGGGGTAATTTGCTATCAAGCAAGTATGAGAAATAATTTCTTCGTGTATTTTTCCAAAAAATATACTTGAATTTATAAAGGCAGTCAAAATAAATGGTAAAAAGGTATACTACTTGAGTAGCCAGTTTTTAGAATGGGTACGTTTTGCTAGTGGTCAGAACGAAGCTCGTTAAAAAGGCACGCATCCTATCCTGACTGAAATGACTTCAGAATAGGCTACACGATAATCAGTATCACAACTTGAGTCAATGCCGATAAGCGAAAGAGTATCAATCTTTCGCATCTGTCGCCATGTTGCGTGATTTTCGGCGACTACTGTAGAGAGAATGGTATTATTTATAGGATACAGTTTCGATTTATTCCAAATAAGAATTTTTCTGCCATTGCGCCGATCTCATTTCCGGTCAGCCTTACTCGGGCTCTTCTCTGGTAAACTATGAGAGAAGAATGAAAGAGGGGGGCGTACGTTTTTCATTTAAAGGCAGCGCGTCTTTAATGCGTCACATTACCATCACTTTCCAACAGAAAATCTGACGGGTGTTGAAGGCCTAACGTTGCACTAGTCAAAACAGGAGCTACGGACTTTCTGTCGCATGATTCCAAACATCCGTCGTCAGTTATTTTAAGTGTTTGCGTGCGGAAAATATGGTTTTTTTTATCCGTATCTCGTCGTTATTCGGAAAAGCGGGCTTCAATTTGCTTTGTGTCATTCCATCCATACGTGGCTCGAAATTGTTTTTTTTTTGCATCCAGCCCTACATCCAAGCTCATTTGCAACTGTCCTACCGATCTCGTTTAAGTCGGATATAGTTCTTAAATTATCTGATTTAATACGCGGTTCATTTCACCTTTTTTCCGCTATTGTACACCGCTGTATTTGCATGCGTGAGGTTTGCGTCGTTTTAATTGGCCGAAGACGACATATAAGCCAGAGTATAGCCATTCTGGTCTCCCTTGCCATTGTCGGTAATGTTCTCCTACCTATAATATTAGCCGTTGTGCGACTGCTGTGAAGGCTAATGAATGAACCCCAGGATACAACGGAATGAGTGACTCCTATAACTGGTTGTTAAGTACCTATCCATCATTGGAACATTTCACAGCGGTATTATTAGCAACCACAACAACACATATCCGTGCCTATGACCCTCATGTCAGTATCGGTATCAATTTATGGAGTAAAACGTAGGTGAACGCCTCTGAGTTTGCATTTAGTGACCTAGTCAATTTATATGTATAAATCGATGGTAGTCTCTACGGAAAAAAACCGT